GCCACACGTCCCACGCGTGGCCTCATATGGAGGATTTAATGCAACGCAATGCCATTGTAAGGCGGGGGTCCACTGTACTCTGGTACATTCCTCTTTTTGCCTTCTTAGACAGACTGACTTCAGGATGCCCCATTTATCTAGCCATACATCTAAGAACATATGAAAGAAGGAACACTGCAACAGGCCTACTGGCCTATGCAAGGCAGGTCCAATTCTCCTACCGGCTTAAGCCAATGCCTTGACCTAGTGAGGTCAGACACGTCACTTAAGGGAGGAGCATGGCATCTGACCTAGTAGCACAAGCTTGTCAGGTCCAACTCACACCCACTTATGTATTTATCCAACCTATTTTTAAAACTACACAACTTCTTAGCTCCTATGACAGTACTTGGGAGTTTGTTCCACTCATCCACAACTCTGTTACCAAACCAGTGCTTTCCTATATCCTTCCTGAATCTGAATTTTTCCAATTTAAAGCCACTGCTGCAAGTCCTGTCTATGTTAGATATTTTTAGCACGGTATTTACATCCCCTTCATTAATTCCTGTTTTGTAAAGTAAAAGGACACAAGTGCAACTAATGTGACATTTATTGTGGCAACGTTTCGCTCTCCAGGAGCTTTATCAAGCCATTACAAACAATACATGGACACAGAGGGTATATAAAGGCTCAGAGTGAGGTGAATACTAGTGAGGTACCATTTCGATGTTCACTAGTGGTAGTAGTAGTAGTGACAAAAGTAATACAATATGGTAGAGCAATTAATTTGTACATGAGTAAAAGGATATAAAAGCTATTACTTGGGTAACATAAAAATAGGTTGGACAAATCCAACCTATTTTTATGTTACCCAAGTAATAGCTTTTATATCCTTTTACTCATGTACAAATTAATTGCTCTACCATATTGTATTACTTTTGTCACTACTACTACTACCACTAGTGAACATCGAAATGGTACCTCACTAGTATTCACCTCACTCTGAGCCTTTATATACCCTCTGTGTCCATGTATTGTTTGTAATGGCTTGATAAAGCTCCTGGAGAGCGAAACGTTGCCACAATAAATGTCACATTAGTTGCACTTGTGTCCTTTTACTTTACATATTGTCGGTAATTCTACCAACTTTATTACAATTCCTGTTTTCCATTTATAAACCTTGATCATATCCCCTTAATTCTAAGCCTTTCTAAAGTGCAGATTCAGGGCCCTCAGTCTATCCTCATAGGGAAGATTTCTGATATATAGGATCAACTTTGTCATCCTCCTTTGTATTATAAGTTTTCCAGTGCATTTATATCCATTCTGTAATATGGTGACCAAAACTGCACAGCATAATCTAAATGAGGCCTAACCAAAGATATACAGAGTTGAAGAACAACCTGATTACTGGTAACCAGAATTCCTAAATCCTATATATTCTTCCTTTCAAGGACAAAATGGAGTACATTAAACTTTACAGAAACCCTCATCTAATAAATGTTTATCCTTAACTTGGAAATCATTGTCATAAAAAAGAAACTTTTACACCATTTAAGCAAATAAAGTTTGAGATGAGAGTCATATAAAAAATTTAATTAACATAATGGGGAGCCTTTAATTGAGCTATGTGTAGAAAGAAATTTGGTGATAAGTAATACATATTTTATGAAAAAGAGGATAAATAAATATACAAGGTATGATGTAGCATGTAAGGAAAGTAGTTTGTTAGATTATGTATTGGTGGATAAAAGGTTGATGGGTAGGCTCCAGGATGTACATGTTTATAGAGGGGCAACTGATATATCGGATCATTATTTAGTTGTAGCTACAGTTAGAGTAAGAGGTAGATGGAAAAGAGAGGTGGCTCACAGGAAGTTAAATGTTAATAAGGGGGGAATTCGGGAAATCGATATTTAGATTGTGGGCTACGTGAAAGAGGTAGTGGGAAAAGGAGGAAGGTGGACCAAGTAAGAGGGGTGGAAAGTTATGAAAATGCAGGATAGAAGTGGGCAGAAAATATGTGGTTTAGGAGGGGTGGGGCAGTGCAAAGAGGAGTAGTTTGGGGGGGTGAGGGGTGTGATTAAAGAGGGTGGAAATAGCTTTGAAAAGGTAGTATTAGAATGTGGGGAGAAGTTTGTGTTATAAGGTGGGGGAAGAGAGAGGGGATATGGGGAAGTGAAAGAAAGGTGAAGAGAGTTGGTGAGAGAAATGCAAAAGAGAGAGTAAAGGAGAAAGAGGGTGAAGAGAGTGGTGAGAAGTGAAAAAGGAGAGCAGATGAAAGAGTGGGAGAGGCATGTCAAGAAATTTTAAAGAAAAAAATTTTGGAGTGAGTTTTAAACAAGGGTTAGAAAAAGCGGGAAAGTATTTGATTTGTTCAGTTAAAAAAACAGAGTAGGGGAGTTTGTAGATGGGGAAGAGGGAGGTAATTATGGTAGATGGTGAGAATATTTTGAGGAACTTTTAAATGTTGAGGAAAAAAGGGAGGCAGTATTTCATTGCACTGGCCAGGGGAGGTATACCATTTTTAGTAGTGAAGAAGGCAGAATGTAAGTGTGGTGGAGGTACGTGAGGCATTACGTGGAATGAAAGGGGGGTAAAATTAGCTGGAACTGATGGGATCATGACGAAATGTTAAAAGCAGGGGGGGATTTTAGTTTGGAGTGGTTGGTACTTTTGTTTAATAAATATATGAAAGAGGGGAAGGTACTTAGGATTGGCAGAGAGCATGTATAGTCCCTTTAAGTTTATATAAAGGGAAAGGGGACAAAAGAGATTGTAAAAATTATAGAGGAATAAGTTTACTGAGAATACCAGGAAAAGTATACGGTAGGGTTATAATTGAAAGAATTAGAGGTAAGACAGAATGTAGAATTGCGGATGAGGAAGGAGGCTTCAGAGTGGGTAGGGGATGTGTAGATCAAGTGTTTACATTGAAGCATATATGTGAACAGTATTTAGATAAAGGTAGGGAAGTTTTTATTGCATTTATAGATTTAGAAAAGGCATATGATAGAGTGGATAGAGGAGCAATGTGGCAGATGTTGCAAGTATATGGAATAGGTGGTAAGTTACTAAATGCTGTAAAGAGCTTTTATGAGGATAGTGAGGCTCAGGTTAGGGTGTGTAGAAGAGAGGGAGAATACTTCCGGTAAAGTAGGTCTTAGACAGGGATGTGTAATGTCACCATGGTTGTTTAATATATTTATAGATGGGGTTGTAAAAGAAGTAAATGCTAGGGTGTTTTCGGGAGAGGGGTGGGATTAAATTATGGGAAATCAAATTCAAAATGGGAATTGACACAGTTACTTTTTGCTGATGATACTGTGCTTATGGGAGATTCTAAAGAAAAATTGCAAAGGTTAGTGGATGAGTTTGAGAATGTGTGTAAAGGTAGAAAGTTGAAAGTGAACACAGAAAAGAGTAAGGTGATGAGGGTATCAAATGATTTAGATAAAGAAAAATTGGATATCAAATTGGGGAGGAGGAGTATGGAAGAAGTGAATGTTTTCAGATACTTGGGAGTTGACGTGTCGGCGGATGGATTTATGAAGGATGAGGTTAATCATAGAATTGATGAGGGAAAAAAGGTGAGTGGTGCGTTGAGGTATATGTGGAGGTCAAAAAACGTTATCTATGGAGGCAAAGAAGGGAATGTATGAAAGTATAGTAGTACCAATACTCTTATATGGATGTGAAGCTTGGGTGGTAAATGCAGCTGCGAGGAGACGGTTGGAGGCAGTGGAGATGTCCTGTTTAAGGGCAATGTGTGGTGTAAATATTATGCAGAAAATTCGGAGTGTGGAAATTAGGAGGTGTGGAGTTAATAAAAGCATTAGTCAGAGGGCAGAAGAGGGGTTGTTGAGGTGGTTTGGTCATTTAGAGAGAATGGATCAAAGTAGAATGACATGGAAAGCATATAAATCTATAGGGGAAGGAAAGAGGGGTAGGGGTCGTCCTCGAAAGGGTTGGAAAGAGGGGGTAAAGGAAGTTTTGTGGGCGAGGGGCTTGGACTTCCAGGAAGCGTGCATGAGCGTGTTAGATAGGAGTGAATGGAGACGAATGATACTTGGGACCTGATGATCTGTTGGAGTGTGAGCAGGGTAATATTTAGTGAAGGGATTCAGGGAAACCGGTTATTTTCATATAGTCGGACTTGAGTCCTGGAAATGGGAAGTACAATGCCTGCACTTTAAAGGAGGGGTTTGGGATATTGGCAGTTTGGAGGGATATGTTGTGTATCTTTATACATATATGCTTCTAAACTGTTGTATTCTGAGCACCTCCATTGTGTCGTTATTTTATACCATTTATTTCCACTGAGCACCTCTGCAAAAGCAGTGATAATGTGTGAGTGTGGTGAAAGTGTTGAATGATGATGAAAGTATTTTCTTTTTGGGGATTTTCTTTCTTTTTTGGGTCACCCTGCCTCAGTGGGAGATGACCGACTTGTTGAGAAAAAAAAAAAAAAAAAAATCCCCCCCCTAAAAAAAAAAGTTGAAAGTCAGCAGCATTTACCTCTCAATATTTATTATTCATTAGCCAGTCAAATAAAACAGACCTTTTTCCAACCTTCAGCAAAAATGAAATATACAGAACAAAAATATCATAATCCATGTTCAGTGACATTTCTCCACTGATACTCTCATTTACATATCTTTACTGTCCTCAGCCTTCACAAAATATCTCAGAAAATCGCCTACAGCTAATTACATTTTTAAACTCATTTACTACTTACATTAATATGGATGGTTTATAAAACCAAAATACATTTTTTTTAGCACTTTCCAGATATTAACCAGAAAAATTAAAATAGCAAGTAGCAAAAAGGTTTCAGCTGAATAACAGCCAAATTATAAACTACACATCTTTACTGCAATTTTCAGAGCACTGCCCATTTTTCCTACAAAAATTAAAATGCTTCTAGACAATTTGTGCTAAGATGTATTCTATATTCTCTATAAATTAACTGAAGAGGAGTGTATTAGATATAGAAAAGAAATAAGGAGTACTGTACTAACCTTGTCCAATACCTAAAGCTCCATAGACCCCTAGGTACATGTCTCTTGTTTTTGGATCACTGGAGGTATCCTCAGCCCATATGGAAAGCCAAATATTTGAGCCCAAAGTACAGGCTTGAGAAATTATATGAAATAAAAGAGTCAACACGGTGGACAAAATGCCAATAGCTTTGATGTAATACCAATATACACTAAACTCAACCTGAAATTAAAAATAAAAATAGATAGTGCAAAAAGTTTTAAAATGAGACACATCTTTAAATACATATTAAGCATGACAGATGATTGCCCATACAAGGTGGTTTGACTGGACACATTTTTTACTGGAAAAAAAAGAAAAAAGAAATATAGCTAATGTACATATAAAAGGATTAAAGTATTGGTACATTCCAGAACACTAATTCTACCCCCTTAAACCAGTTAATGATAGCTTTGTACCAGTTAAAATTTAAGATATAACCTTGTCGAAGAGCCAAATTTATCATACAGCAGGGAAAGTACAGTACTGTAGTTTCCCAAAAATTTAACTAAATCATGAAAAGGAGCCTCTTAATCTTCCAGGCACTTTCTTCTGCATTGATAACTAATTATGAATATTATGAGTAAGAGGGACAGATAAAGGAATAATTGAAAGATAAAACACATCACTTAAGGTGGAAGACTTAACTTTTTATCATACACTTCATCCACCATCAATGTTTCCTAATGGGCAAGACTCCCAGTGAAGTTGGTTATTCTAATTGCAGGGCCAGAAATGCTGCAACAAATTAATCTTGGGGCTGGACTCCCTATCACAGTTTGAATATGACTGAATATTTGTAAAGTATTTGGGTTTATGCATCAAACCTAGTGAGAATAAGATTAAACAGTACTAAATAAACTTGCTTAAACTAGGCTTAGAAAATATCACTGCCTCCTCAGGAAGATTTGAACTCTGCATACATTGCATAACTTGACAAGTGAGATAATATTAGGACAGTATAAGAAAACAACTCTCAAAGCAATGCTGCAACACTCGCTGTATTTATAATATACTGTGGGTTAAATATCATGCCTAGGCCACGAACAAATTACAGCAAGGTGATGTAACGTTGACCTACTTAACCCCTTCACTGTCAAAAATTCTGAAATTACAAGTGTTAAAATGGTAGAGAATCTTTTTCTGAAGGTAATGACACCTAAAAATATGAAATTTGATGGGAAATCTCAGATAATTACACAGGCACAAATTTAGCGATTTGGGTGTAATTTATGCATTGGCAATTTCACCCATTCTGAGTCCAATTTTAAGCCATTACTCAATTCAACCAAATTCTTAGCTATTTTATTAGCATGCCTTCCATCCTATAAATTAAGCACAAGACACTGCCCATTCAATTATCAGGACTATCCTATGAAATGCACAGAAGTACAACATTTGGCCTATTTCACAAAAAATTCCAATTTAAAAAATGTTCAAGATAAACACTAGAAATTCTAAGCACTAAAGCAACATTTCCTCTGTTCACTAATCATGCCCTCAGGGCTCTCCTATGTTACACTTACCCTCCATTTTGAATTCATCACACAAAAAGTCCATTTAACCAGCATCCTAATAACTGAATCAGACCTAGTAAAAAACCCATAAAACAGACTGGGGACTAACCTGTCCTCAGGAAAATTTTCAAAAAACTTTGAATATTTGATACGAAGATACAGCCAATAAAACCATAAAAACCATCCCATTTTAAACCAAACACAAAGTCAGAGGTTTATTCTTCTCTTCATGCACCATATGGGGCAGGATTTTTTTATACTATGCACCCTCACCGCAGACTCCTTTTCTTATGTTTAGGCCAAAATTTACCCTGCACAGCTTATCTGAGGAAGCTGAGCTCAAAACATAGATCTATGTAAGTAACTCTGGGATTAATAACATAAATCTATGTATGAGTCATAGTCATTAATGCTAAATGCTTTGATTTGATAGGGAACAAACTGACATATGGCTTAATGCTTACTGTCAAATTTTAAGGATAAAGACAGGCCTTCTTACTCAATATACAGGGAATAGAAGAATGCACTATAGGTATACTTAACAGTTTTCTCCTTTGCAAAAAGGAATCACAGATTTTTTTGCCAATTCTTGGGCACCTGCTCTAGGGTCACACATACAATTAACAAAATGTAGAAACTATTCCAGCACTTTGTTGCCCCCTGTTGACAATCAGTCATATTCCTACCCACCACTGCTGCTCTGACTACTGTTTTCTTAATGTTCTACTTGTTGCCTTAACACACACACCCAACTCTTCATTCATTCACCTCAACAAAATAAATTTCTGCATTAATTTCAACATCTACATTTAAAAATCTTAAATGCCAAAAAATCATCACAGTGTTTTACTCTCAGTGAACATGACTGCTCCATAGTAGCATGAAATGAACTTCTCAAACAAGTACACTTATAATAATAAAAGGAAAAAATGCTGTCCTAGTCAAAATTTTAAAAGATTTTTTGGCCCACTGTGAACTTTCTGAATCAAATACACAGTTATCAAAATATCAAGATTAGTCTCAATAAATGGAACCTACATGAATACAGGTGCCCCTCTGAAGACATAATATTTATGAGGCACCAGAATTCATTTTTTTTTTTAAATACTTCATAAGTCATTAAAATTTATAAAGACACTGATAAGGAATTTTCTTCTATTCATTATATACTTCACACAAGTAGTTCATATTTACCTTGCCAGTCTCAGCCTTCTCCACATCAATAATTTTATTTCCAGGCTTCTTTTCTGATATGGGATTCACAGACGACTTTCCCATCTCTGATTCACTTGTCTTTTTACTACCACGTCGATGACCATCTTTGCTGTTGTTGGGTGTATTGAAGAAATAATTATAATAAAGAAAACTTCAGTATCAATTGCAGACTTACATAATATAAGAAACAATATTTTCCTCCACATTAGGTATATTTTTTGGTACTACAGTATATGGCATGCTGTATTACATTACTAGCAATGACAGTCGTGGTCGACTAATTTTGTTTTACTCTTAATGATAGTAGTGGTTGGCTAATTTTTTTTTACTTCTAACTTACTGTTTAACTTGAGAATGCCTTATTCATCTGGCTGGTGTACTGTAACTAGGAAGAGGTTCATGCAGCTATTGGCATGTATAGCCTCCACAAATAAATTTTGCCATGAAATGCACAAAAAGAAGGTTGCCACTGATTAAGTAATAATGTTTTCACATTTCCAGCCATGTAAAGAAAATGAATTAACAATAACCATACATCTTCCATCACCCTAACTCTGATAAACATGACACAGTAGTACAGTGCTCTCTCAGTAACTCACAGACCATGCTAGGAAGAAGTGCTGTCTCACACACTCAGTGTCCCCCTTCTGTCCTGCATTATTTACTTTTTTCCACCATCTACAGCTGTCCCTCTTCATCATAATGGATTAGAATAGGCTTTGAATGAAGGCTAAGACTTGTCTCTGGAACCCCAATAAAGTTGCATGAAACCTGCCTGATGGCACTATTCCCATTAGGATGGGGTTCAGGAAGCTCTTGATTACTACCCTATGCATTGATGCTCTTCAGAAGATAGAGAGAGGTTATGTTAAACCTTACAATTACTGTTAGGAAATCGAGGAACAAATATCCTGGTGTCCTGGAAGAAGTGGCTGTTCACACTCTGTGACACTACCTGTCAAATAATGTGAAAATACCATACATAGAGCTGTAAGGAAATCCTTTATCAATGAGAGTATGCACAAAGGTCGCCTTGTTTTCTTGGGACCACAGATGATGATTCAACAGTTTCTTTCATCAGGAATGTCTTAAAGCAGGTTATTCATTGAAGAGGCTCTTCAATATTTAACCCCCTTGCAACAAGAAGGCCAAAATATATTTCCTGCTCAAAGGTGAGTTGATGAATATGGAGAAAAATTTACAAGCTCTTGATGAGAAACTTCTCACTCAATGCCATATTCATGGCTCCAGCACTTTAATGTAGGACAGAGCCCCCTGCCACCACAGTAATAAAGTCAAGGATTTTCTAAGACAGCATGAAATGTCTATTAAGGAGCAGCCAAGAAATATCCTGAATATCATGCTGATTAAAAATGCTTAGCAGGTGATGATATCCATATAACAAAATCTCTGGCATCCCAAAGTTTGTGTAAGTTCTGAAAAGTTTGTGAATTTATGTGCTTCTGACTTATTTCTAGAAACTAAATCACTTGTCTACTAGGAAAAATTAATAAGCAATGAAAGCAAAAAAGTTAAATTAATAAATATTTATGTTTTTGTACTTTTCAACTTCACATATTCTTGTGTTTTACTCATAATTTGTCAATTTTTTTTGTGCAGCAAAGATTTCTTTTTTTCAAAGTATCCTATATTTTATTTACAATAGACCATTTCTGGATTTTGTTTCCAGAGAATAACCTGAGAAAGCTTCTGATTGGTTTCAAACTTTCAAAACTCAAGTGTCCTTTTTGGAAGTAATTTGGGAGTGTGCCTGGTGTGTGTAAGTGCCAAATAGTCAAATTCGTTTTTATTTTTTTTACCTGTAAAATAATGTATGCTTGTCCTGAACAGCTTCAATCTTTATCCCCTTCACTGTCGGAAGCCCCAAAATTAAAAGTGCTCACAGTGTTGGCATTTAAAATAAACTTCTAAAATAGTTGATCAGATAAGCTTTTTCTGAATGTAATGACACCAAAAATATGAAATTTGATGGAAAACTTATGGAATTACACAGCCACAAAACTAGAGGTCTGAGTGCAATTTATGCATCAGTGATTTTACCCACCAAGTCCTATTTTAAGATAATTTTACCAAATTCTTTGCCATTTCACTAGTATGCCATCCATTCTACTAAATGAGCACAAGAAACTCCCATTCATCAGAATTACCCTACAATGTGCACAGAATTTGTTAATTTGACCGATTTGACAAAATTAAAAAAAATTCCAATTTAAAAACCGAGTCCAAAATAAACACTGTAGACATTCCAGGCACTAAAGCAACATTTCCTATGTTCATTAATCATATCTTCAGGCCTCTCCTATATTACACTTACCCTACATTTTGAATTCATCCAACAAAAAAATTGAAGATTTACCCTCTTTCTCAGATAATGAAATATAACCAGAAATGACTGTTCATGGTTTACAGCATCCCAATTGAATCAGACCCAGTAAAAACCCATAAAAATATTAGGGTAGATGTAAGGGAGGCCTTACCCGTCTTCAGGAAAATCATTACAAATCAAATATTTTCGTTACCTTGGGCCTGATTTCAAGCTACTTCCACTTCTCACTATGTCCAGAACTCTATGGGCAGCCTACTGACTGAACCACCAGTTTTAAATCAGTACAGAGCAGTGGAGGAGGTAACAATACTCCATTAGTCATTCTAGCACATGTACCCAAATCAGAGATGTAGCTATAGATCCATGATCCAGGTCACAGGAACATGAACTCTCAGCCAGATATAGGGCATTTTCCAACAGAACTGCTTGACTATTCTCTACTAAACCAGGTCCTGGGGTATTTTTGTAAGGTTGTCCAAGTTGCTGAACTATAGTGTACTAAGCCAAGTTTTCTGACAATTAGGTCTTTTAATATTAACTTATGAATAAATATATATGGAGCACAACTTTTTAACTGCACACAGATTAAAAAAATTAATTGGAGGTTATGACTGTTTTCTTCATTTGCCCAGAAGACAAACATGACCTATGGATTCAAAGACTTCACTTAAGTAATACATTCTCTAACATATCCATTATAAAGAACTGGCATGTAACAAGACCTTACTTATTTATACAAGAAAAATGCTAGTACTATAGAAAGTAATAAGAAAAAATGGCATACAAGGAGCACCTGGAGGAAACTGTAGATCTTCCACTACTTCACAGCAGCAAATGAGATGGCATACATACAAGAAGACAGTGACTTTTATGTTAATAACAAAACTAAACATTGCAACTGCTTCTAGTTTGTGTTACAATGTAATATAATACTGTACTAAATAAAGATGAAGTACAGCAAGAGGTGACGGTATGTCTCAATACTAACTTGCCCCGCTCTGCATTGACTTCGGTTTCACTCTCCTTCTGTTGGCACAGTTGCTTCTCTATTATCTCTTTTCCCAGAGAACTCTCCAACTGTAGCCGAATGCCTTCCAGATCTAAGGGCAAATACCCAGTATTATATTGTTGTGAGATCAATATAACTACAATAATCTATGTTGTCATGCCTCAATATTATTACAGCACTTTCATATGACCTCTTGTGATCTAAGCATCTTGCAAATACAATTTTTTTTTTTTTCAACAAGTTGGCCGTCTCCCACCGAGGCAGGGTGACCCAAAAAGAAAGAAAATCCCCAAAAAGAAAATACTTTCATCATCATTCAACACTTTCACCTCACTCACACATAATCACTGTTTTTGCAGAGGTGCTCAGAACACAACAGTTTAGAAGCATACACGTATAAAGATACACAACATATCCATCCAAACTGCTAATATCCCAAAACCCCTCCTTTAGAGTGCAGGCACTGTACTTCCCATTTCCAGGACTCAAGTCCGGCTATATAAAAATAACTGGTTTCCCTGAATCCCTTCACTAAATATTACCATGCTCACACTCCAACAGATCGTCAGGTCCCAAATACCATTCATCTCCATTCACTCCTATCAAACACGCTCATGCACGCCTGCTGGAAGTCCAAGCCCCTCGCCCAAAAAACCTCCCTTACCCCTTCCTTCCAACCTTTTTCGAGGACAACCCCTACCCCGCCTTCCTTCTCCTACAGATTTAAATGCTCTCCATGTCATTCTACTTTGATCCGTTCTCTCTAAATGACCAAACCACATCAACAACCCCTCTTCAGCCCTCTGACTAATACTTTTATTAACTCAACACCTTCTCCTAATTTCCACACTCCGAATTTTCTGCATAATATTTGCACCACACATTGCCCTTAGACAGGACATCTCCACTGCCTCCAACCGCCTCCTCGCTGCTGCATTCACAACTCAAGCTTCACACCCATATAAGAGTGTTGGTACTACTATACTTTCATACATTCCCTTCTTTGCCTCCATAGATAACGTTTTTTGACTCCACATATACCTCAACACACCACTCACCTTTTTTCCTTCATTAATAATATGATTAACCTCATCCTTCATAAATCCATCGGCCGACACGTCAACTCCCAAGTATCTTAAAACATTCACTTCTTCCATACTCCTCCTCCCCAATTTGATATCCAATTTTTCTTTACCTAAATCATTTGATACCCTCATCACTTTACTCTTTTCTATGTTCACTTTCAACTTTCTAACTTTACACACACTCCCAAACTCATCCACTAACCTTTGCAATTTTTCTTTAGAATCTCCCATAAGCACAGTATCATCAGCAAAAAGTAACTGTGTCAATTCCCATTTTGTATTTGATTCCCCATAATTTAATCCCACCCCTCTCTCGAACACCCTAGCATTTACTTCTTTTACAACCCCACCTATAAATATATTAAACAACCATGGTGACATTACACATCCCTGTCTAAGACCTACTTTTACCAGGAAGTAGTCTCCCTCTCTTCTACACACCCTAACCTGAGCCTCACTATCCTCATAAAAACTCTTTACAGCATTTAGTAACTTACCACCTATTCCATATACTTGCAACATCTGCCACATTGCTCCCCTATCCACTATCATATGCCTTTTCTAAATCCATAAATGCAATAAAAACTTCCCTACCTTTATCTAAATACTGTTCACATATATGCTTCAATGTAAACACTTGATCTACACATCCCCTACCCACTCTGAAACCTCCTTGCTCATCCGCAATCCTACATTCTGTCTTGCCTCTAATTCTTTCAATAATAACCCTACCGTACACTTTTCCTGGTATACTCAATAAACTTATTCCTCTATAATTTTTACAATCTCTTTTGTCCCCTTTCCCTTTATATAAACTTAAAGGGACTATACATGCTCTCTGCCAATCCCTAAGTACCTTCCCCTCTTTCATACATTTATTAAACAAAAGTACCAACCACTCCAACACTATCTTCCCCTGCTTTTAACATTTCTGTCATGATCCCATTAGTTCCAGCTGTTTTACCCCCTTTCATTCTACGTAATGCCTCACGTACCTCCCCCACACTTACATTCTGCTCTTCTTCACTCCTAAAAGATGGTATACCTCCCTGGCCAGTGCATGAAATTACTGCCTCCCTTTCTTCCTCAACATTTAAAAGTTCCTCAAAATATTCTTGCCATCTACCTAATACCTCCCTCTCCCCATCTACTAACTCCCCTACTCTGTTTTTAACTGACAAATCCATATGTTCCCTAGGCTTTCTTAACTTGTTTAACTCACTCCAAATTTTTTTTTTTTATTTTCATTAAAATTTCTTGACAGTGCCTCTCCCACTCTATCATCTGCTCTCCTTTTGCACTCTCTCACCACTCTCTTCACCTTTCTTTTACTATCCATATACTCTGCTCTTCTTATAACACTTCTGCTTTGTAAAAACCTCTCATAAGCTAACTTTTTCTCTTTTATCACACCCTTTACTTCATCATTCCACCAATCACTCCTCTTTCCTCCTGTCCCCACCCTCCTATAACCACAAACTTCTGCCCCACATTCTAATACTGCAATTTTAAAACTCATCCAACCCTCTGTGTAAGAGCAAATATGAGATGTACAACGACTGCTACAGCAGCTGTATATATACAATGCTGAAGGATATACAACTTATATTCTGGGGAAAGGAATCAGGTTTGATCCATGGTAAGGAAGGGTAGCTTCAATTCATTGGATCAAGAGCCTTTCATCAATATTAATATTGAAGGATGGGACAAAGTGGAAAGGTACTTCTCTAGGATGAACATTGTTGCTGACTAGAATTCAGAGGCCAGACTGAACCCTGGCTCGTGATCAAACATGGAAGACAATAACAAAAGAAAATGGAAGGCAGAATAGGGTAAACAAAGTGATTATGAACATTCTATATACTGATAATTAGAGAGATTTATAGTGGTTGCATTGTAAATGATGGGTAAAGATGTTGCAGTTCTGAGAGCCATCTGAACTGGAATGTCATCACACTTCTGGCAAGACAGTAGTTAAATGATGGTAGTGAATATCATTCAACTTTAGGTTACCCTGTCTCGGAGGGAGATGGCCAGAGTGTTAAAAATTATGGAGCTATTGTTTCCAGTCGTTCATGGAAACAAACACAGAAAGGCAACTTTAAGCTAATCATGAGAATGAGAATAAGGTAAACCTACCTTCCAAGGCTTCATCTTCTGATGCCTCTGATAAATACTGAAGGAGGAACTCTTGGAATTTTCCTTTTCTTTCCAGTAACTCTTTGTAGGTTCCTTCTTCAGTGATACTTCCATTATTTAAGACAATTATCTTATCCACCTGAGGCAGATATGTCAACCCATGGGTCACTAACACACGAGTCTGTCAACATGCATTTTGTTAAAAATTATGACTGAAGCTTCACACAGTGTATAGCTGTTTAACATATTCATTGATAGGTTGTAAAAACAGATGAATGCTAGAGTGTTGAAGAGGGGTGCAGGATTAAAAGATGCTGAATCTGATAAAAAGTGGGAGTTATTATAGTTGCTTTTGCAATTCTTTTGGGCAATTCTAAACACAAGTTACAAAGGTTAGTGAATGAATTTTGAAGGATATGTAAAGGAAGGAAATTAATAGTGACTGTAGACGAGAGCAAGGCAATGAGGGTAACAAAATGTCTAGGCAATGACAGATAGAATATCAAATATTCATGAAGTACTGAGTACAGAAACAACAGAAGTAGATGGACCCCTCATTTAAATTTGCACCACCCAAGGAGAATACTGGCAAAAAATTAGGGACTCATAAAAAATAAAGGAAAAAACACTACCAAGTCTTCAGGGAAAGTGAAAAAACTAACACCTAATGTGATGATAATAGTTGTAGTGGAATGTCATGAACCTAGAATAGTTTACTGAAAATACAAACTAAGGGAATCAGGAAATACATCCTTTGCTATGCACCTATCTCATTATGACTTCACTTGTGGAAATTTGGAAACACCCCCAAACCATGTACTACATGGCCAAGTACTTGTCCAACATTGGTCAACCTATTATTATTGCAACAGAAGTTGACCTAGAGCTCAAAAAAAATTCAAGATCATATTTCTAATATGCCAGGAGTGAATTCAGATAAGGGTTATCTATCCATTTGCTGCATGAGCCTTTTTTGGGGGGAAGATCTTTGAAAAGTAAAGAGTATATGTACAAAATCTTATTACAATGCTTGCCAAACATGTTAAAAATTTTTAAATGTTACAATACAGAATTGTTACTCTATGCCTCTGAATGGGTCCAATATTTCTTGATGTGCACAGCCCTATTTATTTTATCATCTAATGTTTTTCCTTTTAAAGACGTACCACCAATCTTAAACATGTGCATACCAGACAGTGAGCGTGTGATGTATGTGTAATTTGAATAGAAGTCCATATTACTCAGTAGGAATTAACCCTTTCAGGGTCCACGGCCCAAATCTGGAGTCACGCACCAGTGTCCAAGAATTTAAAAAAAAAAATTTGTTATTTTTTCTTATGAAATCGTAGAGAATCTTTTTGTGAAGGTAATAAAACAAAAAGTACGAAATTTGGTGGAAAATTGACGAAATTATGCTCTCGCGAATTTTGATGTGTCAGCGATATTTACGAATCGGCGATTTTGCCGACTTTGACTCCCATTTTAGGCCAATTACATTATTCCAATCAACTAAATTCTTAGCTATTTCACTAGTATTACTTCTATTCTATCGAATGAGCACAAGAAATCGCCAAGTCAACTGTTTCAACTACAAAATAAAGTGATCGGAAATTGTTAATTTGGCCAATTTAACACAAAGTTCAAAATATTCCAATTTCAAAATAGGGTCCAGAATGAACAATGTAGGCATTCCTGGCACTAAACTAACATTTCCTCTGTTCATTAGTTATGTTTTGAGGCTTTACAAATAAATTCCATTTTGATTTTTTATTCACATAATGAATTTTTATTCACACCAAAAAATAGAAGATTTACTGTTATGCAATACTGTAATAATTGTATAAATATCATCACCATATTTGTGAATGTATATTAGACCCACCAGCTGACGTGTATTAGACGTGTGAGGTCGTTTGTATACTCTTGAATATCGGCAAAAATTTAACATTTCTGCTACTTTGAGCTCAGTTTCAAGCCATTTCCAGTGCTAAAACCAATCAAAATCATCTCTATTTCTGTAATATGTCTTCCATTCTATCAAATGAGACCAAGAAATCGCAAATACAACTATAAAAAACATACGAAAAAACACTGCAAAGTTGCTGTTTTAATCGAAAAATCATGATTTCATTTTTTTTCTCTCATTATACACAGTGTGCTGCAGGATTGTTTTATGTGGTGCACACATACCACATAGATGTATTCTCTCATATCTAGGCCTAAATGTACCACTCACAGTTTATCAGAGTTGAGCTGAGCTCATGGCGTAGATCTACGGTTTGGACCCTGAACGTAAAGCTGTAGATCTACGGGACGGACCCTGAAAGGGTTAACATTGACAATTTTTTTTTTTTTTTTTTTTTTTTTTGCGTTTTTCACAGTACTTGAACTAAAGTCCGAGGCACAAATAGATTTGGCAGTTTAAGAAAGTGGTGAATTATTGGATGAGAAAGGTAGAAGTATGGAGATATGAGCTGCATACTTTGAGTTGTGAAATGTGGATTTTGAAAGAGGTAGAGATTTCCTGCATGGGACAAAGAGGAATAAGATTTATGAGAAGGGAAGAGTCATAGGTACATTTGGAGGAATCAGGTAAGGAAGAGTCCAGGCTTGAAATGTTGATGTGGTATGGATATATGGTGAAGGGTAAGAGGGAGTGGTAAGTGTGTACAGAAGATGGGGGGAAGGGTTGATGGTGATGCTGTTAAACTCATACTAACACAACCCTGACTTCAGCTCCAGCAAAAAAAAGGGAACATCTCTGTTATCATGAGCACACATGTGAATTTGTACAAAATTATATTTATAATAAATGCAAGAGAAGAGAATAATATTTAGTGGAGTTAGGAGGGACTCATGAGCCACATGCCTCTCATTAATACAAAGAGGTAAGCCACTACCCTCACCATCAGCCTCCTTCCAAGTTGTTACTATATTAAATCCATTTATTTGGTAAATGACTGAAATGGATTTGGTTCATTTCTACTATATTTGCAAAATTTAGCCAAGAAATATGGAATTTCATAATAGCTTGAGGGCAGTACCTAGTTGTGTCATGTAATTATTTGAAACTAAAATTTTTAATAATTTTTTCATGATTTGTAGGTCAATTTCGAACATTTAGACAGTATTAAAAATGTCTTGAAGAAACAGTAATGAGTCTACAGTAAACAAACCTTTTTCTTCAAGAGGCCTGTAGGTCCAATCACTTGTTCAAATATGTGCTTGCCCACATGAGAGTCCACAGCACTGAGAGGGTCATCAAGGAGGTAGATGTCAGCATCGGCATATACAGCACGAGCAAGACTGACTCGCTGCTTCTGCCCACCACTCAGGTTGATGCCCTAAAACAAAAAAAAAAAAAAATATAAGTACTTCAATTGTTTACATTCTCTTGCACACACCTGGCTCCTTTGCCGACTCAAACCACAGGCTTTGCACCCTGTTTAGCTACCTGTCTCTGTTCGACATGGCTCTCAACACTGAGAACATTAATCCTTTAGATAACAAAAAAAGGCGCAATACAGCAATTGGAACAATACACAAATAACCCACACATAGGATAGAGGAGCTTACGACGACGATTCAGTCTGACTTGGACCATTTACAAAGTCACACTAACAAAAAGGAGAAAAGGAGGGAGTACGTATATACAGTAGGACCCCATTTATACGGGAGGTTAGGTTCCAGGCTACTGCCGGAAAGCAGAATGCCTTTTTTTTCACTTATAAATGCATATAAATGCCAGATAACAAGTTTACGCTAACATACATTAACTTAGCAATAGAACTAGGCATTAAAAAACAATAAAAAGTAAAATACACACACAGTACACTCATTATTTACTTCAAAATATTTGTAGTCTTAATGTATGGCAAAATGTGAGTAGTATTTATTGTAAGAAGTCAGGTGTGGTAGCCCTCCTGGCCACCCCACCTACACATAATATACTATGATGCTTAACCCGTAAACGGTCCAAGCAGATCTACGTTCACATGTGTAGTGCTACAAAAGTAGATCTACGTTTTTTTTACATATTTTCAAATGTAACAAAAAAAAAAGTAGATCAAAGTTTTTTACACATTTTCAAATGTAAAAAAACAAAAAGATCTACTTTTTTTACATACTTTCAAGTGTTGAAAAAACGTATATATACGTTTGGCCGTTTACGGGTTAAAGTGCCCTAGAGTGATAAAATGCATATACAGTACACTCATTACTTACCTTAAAATATTTGTAGTTTAGTGAGTGCAAAATGTAAGCCTGTAATTGTTTTACATGATGGTAGGATTGCTGGTGTCCATTTTTCTGTCTCAAACATGCAAGGTTTCAGGTATGTCTTGCTACTTCTACTCACACTTAGGTCACACTACACATACATGTTTTTTTTTTTTTTTTTTTTTTTTTTTTTTTTTTTTTTCCAACAAGTCGGCCGTCTCCCACCGAGGCAGGGTGACCCCAAAAAAGAAAGAAAATCCCAAAAAGAAAATACTTTCATCATCATTCAACACTTTCACCACACTCGCACATTATCACTGTTTTTGCAGAGGTGCTCAGAATACAACAGTCCAGAAGCATAAACATATAAAGATACACAACATATCCCTCCAAACTGCCAATATCCCAAACCCCTCCTTTAAAGTGCAGGCATTGTACTTCCCATTTCCAGGACTCAAGTCCGACTATATGAAAATAACCGGTTTCCCTGAAATCCCTTCACTAAATATTACCCTGCTCACACTCCAACAGATCGTCAGGTCCCAAGTACCATTCGTCTCCATTCACTCCTATCTAACACGCTCACGCACGCTTGCTGGAAGTCCAAGCCCTTACCCACAAAACCTCCTTTACCCCTCTCTCCAACCCTTTCGAGGACGACCCCTACCCGCCTTCCTTCCCCTATAGATTTATATGCTTTCCATGTCATTCTACTGTGATCCATTCTCTCTAAATGACCAAACACCTCAACAACCCCTCTTCTGCCCTCTGACTAATACTTTTATTAACTCCACACCTTCTCCTAATTTCCACACTCGAATTTTTCTGCATAATATTTACACCACACATTGCCCTTAAACAGGACATCTCCGCTGCCTCCAACCGTCTCCTCGCTGCTGCATTTACCACCCAAGCTTCACACCCATATAAGAGTGTTGGTACTACTATACTTTCATACATTCCCTTCTTTGCCTCCATAGTAACGTTTTTTTGACTCCACATATACCTCAACGCACACTCACCTTTTTTCCCTCATCAATTCTATGATTAACCTCATCCTTCATAAATCCATCCGCCGACACGTCAACTCCCAAGTATCTGAAAACATTCACTTCTTCCATACTCCTCCTCCCCAATTTGATATCCAATTTTTCTTTATCTAAATCATTTGACACCCTCATCACCTTACTCTTTTCTATGTTCACTTTCACTTTCTACCTTTACACACATTCCCAAACTCATCCACTAACCTTTGCAATTTTTTCTTTAGAATCTCCCATAAGCACAGTATCATCAGCAAAAAGTAACTGTGTCAATTCCCATTTTGAATTTGATTCCCCATAATTTAATCCACCCTCTCCCAAACACCCTAGCATTTACTTCCTTTACAACCCCATCTTAAATTATTAATACAACCATGGTGACATTACACATCCCTGTCTAAGACCTACTTTTACCGGGAAGTAGTCTCCCTCTCTTCTACACACCCTAACCCGAGCCTCACTATCCTCATAAAACTCTTTACAGCATTTAATAAACTTACCCCTATTCCATATACTTGCAACATCTGCCACATTGCTCTCTATCCACTCTATCATATGCCTTTTCTAAATCCATAAATGCAATAAAAACTTCCCTATCTTTATCTAAATACTGTTCACATATATGCTTCAATGTAAACACCTGATTACACATCCCCTACCCACTCTAAAACCTCCTTGCTCATCCGCAATCCTACATTCTGTCTTACCTCTAATTCTTTCAATTATAACCCTACCGTACACTTTTCCTGGTATACTCAGTAAGCTTATTCCTCTATAATTTTTACAGTCTCTTTTGTCCCCTTTCCCTTTATATAAAGGGACTATACATGCTCTCTGCCAATCCCTAGGTACCTTCCCCTCTTTCATACATTTATTAAACAAAAGTACCAACCACTCCAACACTATATCCCCCCCTGCTTTAAACATTTCTGTCATGATCCCATCAGTTCCAGCTGCTTTACCCCCTTTCATATATATATATACACCACTCTGGGTTTTCTCCTGTTTTCTTTCTAGTTCTTGTTCTTGTTTATTTCCTCTTATCTCCATGGGGAAGTGGAACAGAATTCTTCCTCCGTAAGCCATGCGTGTTGTAAGAGGCGACTAAAATGCCAGGAGCAAGGGGCTAGTAACCCCTTCTGTATATACTACTAAATGTAAAAGGAGAAACTTTAGTTTTTCCTTTTGGGCCACCCCGCCTCGGTGGGATACGGCCAGTGTGTTGAAAGAAGAAAGAAAGATTTGTAGTCTTAATGGTCTTAATGTAGGATGAAAAGTATTTATTTGTATAAAGTCAGGTGTGGCATGCAGGGTAGCTTGCCTGGCTACCCCACCCATGCAGAGCACTATGTAAACAAATGGACGAAGCATCTGGTTATGGTTCATACACGTTCATACAAACACCTTACATTGTGTACAAGTTGCCTCCACAGTGGTACAGTAGAATACATAAAGACCAACACTTCCATTCTCATGTAACATCAAATTTAGAAGGAATGATGCTCTGACAAGTTAGTACAAAATTAATAAACAGCAACACTCCCATTCTCATGCAACACACCATTTTTAGAGTGAATGATGATTTTTTTTTTTTTTCAACAAGTTGGCCGTCTCCCACCGAGGCAGGGTGACCCAAAAAAGAAAGAAAATCCCCAAAAAGAAAATACTTTCATCATCATTCAACACTTTCACCACACTCGCACATTATCACTGTTTTTGCAGAGGTACTCAGAATACAACAGGTTAGAAGCATACACATATAAAGATACACAGCATATCCCTCCAAACTGCCAATATCCCAAACCCCTCCTTTAAAGTGCAAGCATTGTACTTTCCATTTCCAGGACTAAAGTCAGATTATATGAAAATAACCAGTTTCCCTGAATCCCTTCACTAAATATTACCCTGCTCACACTCCAACAGATCGTCAGGTCCCAAGTACCATTCGTCTCCATTCACTCCTATCTAACATGCTCACGCACGCTTACTGGAAGTCCAAGCCCCTTGCCCACAAAACCTCCTTTACCCCCTCTCTCCAACCCTTTCAAGGACGACCCCTACCCTGCATTCCTTCCCCTATAGATTTATATACTTTCCATGTCATTCTACTTTGATCCATTCTCTCTAAATGACCAAACCACCTCAACAACCCCTCTTCTGCCCTCTGACTAATACTTTTATTAACTCCACACCTTTTCCTAATTTCCACACTCCGAATTTTCTGCATAATATTTACACCACACATTGCCCTTAAACAGGACATCTCCACTGTCTCCAACCATCTCCTCGCTGCTGCATTTACCACCCAAGCTTCACACCCATATAAGAGTGTTGGTACTACTATACTTTCATTACATTCCTTCTTTGCCTCATAGATAACGTTTTTTGACTCCACATATACCTCAATGCACCACTCACCTTTTTTCCCTCATCAATTCTATGATTAACCTCATCCTTCATAAATCCATCCGCCGACACGTCAACTCCCAAGTATCTGAAAACATTCACTTCTTCCATACTCCTCCTCCCCAATTTGATATCCAATTTTTCTTTATCTAAATCATTTGACGCACTCTACACACCCTAACCTGAGGCTCACTATCCTCATAAAAACTCTTTACAGCATTTAATAACTTACCACCTATTCCATATACTTGCAACATCTGCCACATTGCTCCTCTATCCACTATCACATGCCTTTTCTAAATCCATAAATGCAATAAAAACTTCCCTACCTTTATCTAAATGCTGTTCACATATATGCTTCAATGTAAACACTTGATCTACACATCCCCTACCCACTCTGAAACCTCCTTGCTCATCCGCAATCCTACATTCTGTCTTACTCTAATTCTTTCAATTATAACCTACCGTACACTTTTCCTGGTATACTCAGTAAACTTATTCCTCTATAATTTTTACAGTCTCTTTTGTCCCCTTTCCCTTTATATAAAAGGGACTATACATGCTCTCCGCCAATCCCTAGGTACCTTCCCCTCTTTCATACATTTATTAAACAAAAGTACCAACCACTCCAACACTATATCCCCCCTGCTTTTAACATTTCTGTCATGATTCTTATC